GGGGGGTGGAGACCGGGATGGAGAATAAAAGGAGGAGAGGGATGTGCAGGAAAAGGGGCGAGGGGAGCGCGAAGGAAGGGAGGATGGAGGAATGGGGGAAAAAGGAGCCGGGGACAGCGGAGGGGAGAGGGAGAGGAAGGAGGGAGGGAGGAATGCCCGCGGGAACGCAGGAGAGGGGCTCCCTGTTCCCAGGGTCTTGCGGGCAGCACCCGTGCTGCTCAGAGGTGCAGGGACACGGCGAAGTCTTCTGGCTGGCAAGGTATTCAGAAAGCGGGTTGTGTGTGGGGGAGGTTGTTGAGAGGTGGGTTTAAGTTCCTTCTCCCAAGTAACAAATGGTAGGGCAAGAGGAAATAGCCTCAAGTTATGCCACGGGAGTTTAGATTAGATAACAGGAAAAATATCTTCACCGCAAGGATTGTCAGGGACCAGAACAGGCTGCCCAGGAAAGTGGTTGAATCAGCATCCCTGGAGATACTTAAAAAACATGTAGATCTGATGCTCAGGGGCATGGTTTATTGGTCGACTTGGCTGTGTTTGGTTAACAGTTGGACTCAGTGATCTTAAAGGTCTTTTCCAACCAAAATTATTTTCTGTTTCTGTGCTAAGCACACAAAACTTTTCTGCCCTATAAGCACCTCTAGCTGGATGGAGCTGAGGGCAGATGGGCAAGCAGGGGGGCTGTCTCTCTACTCTCTTCCTCCTCTTCCCTGAACAATCTCATGCCTTTTACATTTTCTTTGGGGAAAAGTCCCAATTCAATAGCCCAAAACTCTCTCACCAGATTCCATCTCTGTTGCAAGGAGTGGACCCAGAAGAAATGGGACAGGGCAAGGAATTCAGCTCCCTTGTGGGAACAGTTCAGCTTCTTTGTGTGAGTTCTCCCAAGAAGGAAATCAGGATTGCCCCATCCCATTCCATTCCTTGCACAAAGTGCTTCCCTGTAGACCCTCTTCTCTGCCTTGCAGCCAACACCAATGACTCCTTGTGCTGTACTACAAGTCACAGAGCTCTTGACATTTGGCACTGCTGTTAGGATCATTTGAGCTGCTAGGGTCAACTCCAGCCCTAACAGAAGCAGGGAATATCTCTCTGAGAGCAAAACATAGGATGGGGTCTAAAACCTGGCCTTTCACATTTGGTTGAGCAATTCTATGTCCAGCCAGTATTGCTCAAAAAGTGAACAGGTGAAGGCAGTGCAGGGCTTACAAAGCTGTCAGGAAGCCTTAGTCTAGATCTTGGCCACAGTGCTGTCTGGAGGCACACGGGAGAGATGAGGCATCACTGGGGAAGGAAAGGCATGGGCAGCACCCAGTGGCTATCTTTGTCATGACAAGGCAGGTACCCGCAGCACCATGCAGAAAGCCCATGAGCTAGCATCTCAGAAGAAACAAAGCCATGCAACAGCAGAGCTTTACCCAGGCCAGCTACCCTTTGAAGGACTAGTTAGCATAAGCACAGTCACAGGATCACAACTTCCAGGTCTCCAGTTTGCTTCCTCAGTCCTCAGAGTCCTGCCTTATCCTCTGCCTCAGCTCCAATGGGGTTGTGCAAACTGCTTGAATTGTGTCATAAGGAGAGCTCAGCCCATGTCCTTCCACAGGCAGGCAGATACATGAATTTTGTTTAGGCACCTGGTGAACCTCTCCTCTCTGGTTGCTATATGTGACAGGGGACAAAACAGACTGAGAGGGTAAAACCCAGGGCTTGGAGACTGGAAGGGAAGTAATAACCCACCAGGAATGCATTGGTTTGAGTAATGTTTAGGATTGTTTAAGGGAAGCTAGATCTCAGTCTTTGTATCCCTTATCCTTTCACTGGTATATGCCCACAGCAGAGACTTGATTTCTGCTCTTCTAGACTTGTGTTACACTACATTTACATGGGGCTTGGGCAACTCATCAAGCAGCTCATATGCAATGCAGACACTTGTGGAATTCGCTGCCACAGAATGTCCTCCAGGATTGTTCTGGATCTTATCAGTGGATAATCTTTCACATTGCTGAATTAACTGCCTTAGCCAGATCTGACCATGAATTGAATTCACAGAAATTTCCCTGGCTACCTCAAGCTTCACTGTGGCAGGTTGTTGCCTACACCACACATGTAGCCTCCTCAGTGCAGGAAGCAGCCCTCGAAACTCAGAAGCGGTGCTGCACTGGGGAGCGGAAAGTTGGCTCAACTCCACAGTTTCTTTGTGCCCTCCAAGGACTGAAGGATCTTGCAGTGCCAGTCATTGCACCCTGAGCCCTTCTCCCACCCACATGCAGTGGCAGTGGCAGCGGCAGCCACCCCATAACTCTCCTTACTCTCAAGTCCCTGCAATGCATCAGGAAGGCAGGTGCTCACAGCTGCCAGATCCATACCACTGGGACCGCTCTCTTCAGCTTAATTTTAGTGACTTAGAGGCAATTTGTCTGAACTGGTGACTCATTCCTTGCTCTGTTGTTTTTTTTTCCCCTCCCCCTTCCTGTTCTCACTGTGCCTGTGCCTGGCAGTGTGAGCAACTGCTGGTACCGATATGATTGTCTGTGATGTGAGCTTAGGAGCATTCATGCAGACATGTTTTGATGAAAGAGTGTCCCCAGCAACCCATAGGGGCAGCCCCACAGAGAGGAGTCTGGGCCTCAGTGTCCCCTCCCAAAGCCTGTACCTCATCCTCTCTGTGACCCTGAGGGGAGATACCTTTTTCCTTAGAACACACAGAGGCTGAGAAGGGGATGGGCAAAAGCCAAGCTGGGATCACCCTGCTGTCTTTGGCTGGCACATGATATTTGCACCTTACACAGGAATGCTCGCAACACAGGAAGGACATGGAGCTGTTGGAGGAAGTCCAGGGGAGGACCATGGAGATGGTGAGGGGGCTGAAGGACCTCTCCTACAAGGACAGGCTGAGAGAGTTGGGGTTGCACAGCCTGGAGAAGAGAAGGCTCCATGGAGACCTTATTGCTACCTTCCACTACCCGAAAGGGCCTACCGGAAAGCTGGAGAGGGACTTTTTACAAGGGCATATAGTGATTGATAGGATGAGGGGGAGTAATTTCAAACTGAAAAAGGGTAGATTTAGATTAGATACTAGGAAGAAATTCTTCACTATGAGGGTGAGGAGACACATAAAATGCTTGCTCAGGGGAGCTGTGGATGCCCCCTCCCTAGAAGTGTTCAAGGCCACGTTGGATGGGGCTTTGAGTAATCTGGCCTAGTGGGAGGTGTCCCTGCCCATGGCAGGGGGGGTTGGAACTAGATGATCTTTGAGGTCCCTTCCAACTCAAACCATTCTATAGTTCTATGAGTGCAGGGGGCTCAGCTGAGGATGTAGCAACTTGGTGTATGAATCAGCCCAGTCTCTTCATCCTACAACATCTGGGGCTCCCTGGTAGCAAGCTCAGTGTGATGCTGCTTGGGTTATTACTGCTGAAGGAGAGGCACAGCTGGCAGGTGCCTGCAGCCCATCCATCCTGTGGCTCACTGCTTCTCAGCTGTGTTCCCCAAGATGCAACACATCACAGACACGACAAGAACCTATGGTCTGTTTATTGGGTCTTACTTACTACATTGTAACCTGGGGGACAGTGAGGAAGTGAGGGGCAGCTGGGGCGAGTGTGGGGAAGTTGTGCAAATGGACAAACGAGTGCTACAGACTCACAACAGTCTTTCAAGCCAGCAGAAGTAAAAAGCACGCTGGCTGCCACAAGGTACTGAGCTCCGGGATGCTGGAGCCATCAGCTCTGGGATGCTGGAGCCATTGCTCTCCTGCGTGCTGGGCAGAGCCTGGCATCAGGATGGGGCCGGGATCTGCAGCCAAAAACATGACAGACCTCGTGAATCCAGCTCTGCTGTTTTCCTGCTTTCCCTCCCTCCGCCCCGGTGATGATGGGAGAACGAAGGAGCAGAGTCTCAGTTAAAAAGCTCTCACTCCTCTGTCCTCAATCTCTGGCCAGCTTTGCCTCTCATCCTGAAATCTTTCTCCTCTCTCTGCTGCCTTGAGCTGAAGGGGAAGGGCAGACTGGGAAAACAGGAGTAAAGGAGTTCTGGGGTGAAGCTGCTGCCTGCCAATGAACAGCACCACAAAAACCCCCTTGAGGTGAGCAGGGCCTGGTAAGAGGAAGGGCCATTAGGCAGCTGTCATGGGAACAGCCCTTTTTTTTCCTATAGGCAAAGGCTACAGCTTCCCAGCTCTCACAGCAGGTCATTCCCAGGGCAGCCTGGATGCAGTTCCAGTTCTTCTCTGTGAGGGCAGAGGTGGAAAATCCTGAGCTGCCTTGGACCAGGAGATGGGGAAAAACCTTCCCATGGACAGACAGCAAGGAGGAGGAAGTGGTTTAGGGGTCTACGTGCCCCATCATACTATGTCCTGTCCTTTCCCCAAGCAGGACTGCTGTCTCCCTCTCCCTCTCTGAGGGGGACCCATCCCATCTGGCACAGCAGGACACAGGAAGGCAGCAGCCCCAACCTTTCAGGAGCAGGAAAGGGCCACTGGTGTCACTCCCAGGGATCATTTCAGACCTACTTGCTTAGAGGAGGCTGCATGCTCGTTTCTTTGTCCGGGTGGGCTGAGGACAGAGGACTGCCCGGATGGCCTCGTCAAACACTGTCTTGAGGCCGCGTTGCGTCAAAGCTGAGCATTCCAGGTATTTCACCGAGTCTGTTGGGAGGAAAGCAGATGCTGTAATGGGGAGTAAAGGAAGAGGAGGGCCCAGGAGTTTGCTGCAAAGGATCCCCAAAAGAGAAATGTGGGAGGAATATCACAGATTGCATCAAGGAGAGTGAGATGTATGTGCCTGTATCACTGGTACAATTTTGGCTCCCATCACCTCAGAGCCACAGCACCCTCCTACCTCAGTGCCCAATTTACAATATCCTGAGGCATGTACACACCACCTAAACACACTTTGAGTCTCATCTTGAAATGAGGTCTCAAGTCTTCTCAGATTTTGAGTGTCAAGCATGTCTGGTGGCATCACAAATCATATGGCATCTCCCTTTTGGGATTCTGTATCCCCACATTCTTAGAGACCTTGTGCTGGAGAGCAAGGCATCTGGATCTTGTCTGAATTGAATAAACACAGCTCAGGTGATCAAAGCAATTGAACATTTTCAGGACATACTTCACTCACTCAGGTAGCTTGGACTTCAGGGCAAAGCTTCCCACCATTTTGCCTTTTCCCCACTCTTGTAGCCAGGGCAGAGCCATGGCATGAGGCTGACTGTGTTATCCTGGCTGGACACCCACTCCTCTGAACTCCTGGTTGAAAACTTCTCCCTGAACTGTGTTTCCCACCCTCTCTGTCACCTCTTCGTGCTTCATCTGAGGAGTTACCTGAAACAGGCGTTTGTGCTTGTCTTGAAATACAGGCAGGCGCTGATGCCCCTGAGGTGAATGGTGAGGTGAGACACACAGACCCAGGGTTACACATATGAACCCCAGTAATAAGAGGCAGTTGCAACGCTTCCTGAGAGATGTTAGAAAACTCACTCTTCTGCCTGTTTCCGGATGTGGGGGTGAGGCCTCTGCCCACACAGCAGCTGCGGCTTTCACAGAAAAACATTGGCCCAGATAGAAATGGCAGAGTAAAAGGGGAGGGGAATGTGCCAGTGTCTGTGTGTGTTTACGTGTGGAAGAAAGTGGCCAGAGAGAGGTAGAAAACAGAGCCTTGGGGGGCTGAGGCTTTCTTGAGGGGCAGGCCTTCCTGAGCCTTCTGAAAAGTGTTTTGGGCCACGACCCTTGATGCGTTTCCCTGTGTCCCTCAGAGATACCACTGTGAGATATCTATAAGGAAGTCTCCTTAGGCCAAGGGAAAGCCCTTATTTTCTTCCTCTCTCCTTTCAGTGGGTCCAAGCTGTTGCACCAAGCACATACCAATTTCCTTGGCCAGAGCAAGTCCTTGAGGATATGTGATGGGGGACAGCTTCTTCTCCTTCAGCTTCTCAATGGTATCCTTGTCATCACGAAGATCCAGCTTTGTGCCCACCAGGATGATGGGAGTGCTAGGGCAGTGGTGCCGCACCTCTGGGAACCACTACCAAGGGAGCAAAATGGCAAAGATGTGAGAAGTTGTCATTTGTATGGGCATGCATATGCAAGGGTAACAAAGGAAACATCCCTGAACAAATGTCAGCAAGGTAGCTGACAGCCTGTCCTTCCTCACAACCCTTCCATCTAGTGTTGGGTACTATAGCCTGGCCCAGACAAGCCCTTGTTGCTGGGCTCACAGGCAGAATTCCTGACACAGAGCTCAAACTCGGTGAAGCAAAAGCACAAGCTGCTCTTCACCCTTCCTGGCTCCCTGAAGCCCAGGGAGGAGCCTGAAAGTGGTAGGAAGAAAATACTACATTGTTCTCTTCTCCATCAATCTCTCCTTTCTTCCCTCCCTTTGTATCCAAAGACTGTATCTGCTTCTCATACCTTATGAACTCATCCTGAATGTCTGTGGTGGGACAGTCTTTGCTGAAAGATGCCATCAGAGCATAAGCCTGTGGTCTCACAGCTGAATAGCCCAGCAAGATGAATATTAACCCTTCAATTGGGTTGGCTGCTTTCTTTGAGATGACTCAGGAAACACATCTGAAGGAGGCTGATATTTTAGTTCCTTCTGACTGTCACAAAAAATATATTACCTTTCTGAATCTAGACATCTTATTAGCAATCTCCACCTACAGTCACTCTCTTTGCAAGACCACCACCAATCTCACTGTTCTAAACCCCTGATGGACCAGGATACTCTGTCTCACCTTAGCACGGACGTTTTCATATGATGCTGGGCTGACAAGGGAGAAGCAGATCAGGAAGACATCCTGTAGGCATACAAACATGGAGCAGAGTTAGAACAAGAGCACGGGTTTGCGTGACAAAAGCCAGGGAGGGGAGAAAAGATTTGGGTTGGCAACATCCTCCCTCTGCAGCAGAGGGTCATGCTAGGGAAAACTGTCCCTTGCAATGTAACACAGTCCTGACTGCTGCTAATTGCCCCTAGAGGAGGGAAGAATATTTGCTCCCCTGATTCATGGTAACCATAGCCACCATTATCAGAAGAGCCACATGTTTAACTATGAGGATGGGGTTTTTGTGGTAGGCACACTCATCCTCATGGGAAATGGCCTGACTCCGTCCTGCCCATTTCTCACAGAACACCAGGGAGCTTTCAGGCCAAAATAATTTTGACTGCTATTGAGACAGAACTTGGCTCAGCCCAGAAAGTGCACACACGGGATGTAAATGAGGCAGAGCCTTGGTTATTCATGTAAGTGATTCTCCTTGAGCATGGCGGAATCTGGATTTCCACTAAAAACAAAACAAAACAAAACAAAACAAAACCAGCTCTTTCGGGTTATATTTATTTCATGCAGCTTCACCTACCTAAAACAAGGATGTCAGGCCCAACATATCCATTCCCATACTTCTACAGCTGTTAGAGGCAAGTACCTTGGAGTACATCCAAGTACACTGGAGAACAGTTCTCCCACCCATCCTTGGGATGTGTCCCAGGGTGGTGCAAGTGTTTTTCTGAGAAATGCCCCTGCTTGCTTGGTCTGCAGAAGGAGCCTAGGCAAGCAGCTTAGACCAGGTGTCCAACTTTTAGGTGGATGAACCTAGCTGAAACAAGCAGTGCCCTCAATTCCCAGCCCTTGTGGTTGCAACGTGGCAACCTTCAGACCAATGCCTGAGGCAGAAGGGTCTTCCTGAGTTTGCCAAGAGGCTGCTTGGAACAGAAATTCTCCAGGGAAGGTGATCTTGAAACCCTGAAATCACTTTGTCAACATGGTGAAAAACCAGTAACCACAGTATTTGCAGAGAGGCATCCAGTCATTTTGTTAGAGCCATCAGCAGATCACATTCATATGTTCACACATCTGATTTATTTCAAAGACAGAAGCCAGAATAGTAAGGTTCACAGAACTATGAAAAGCCCCTGCCTCAGCTTCTAAATGCCCTTAACCACTTCAGCTTCTCAGGAGTTTGGTTTCTCTGTTCCAGAGCTGTGTAAGGCATCTGTCCCACACTAAAACCAGTGTCAGCTGGGCTCGTAAGCATCTCAGAAGATCTCAGCTTTCTTGCTAAGTTACACCAGTAATAAAGCTCAGATAAAGGTCCAAAATACCCTTAGATGTTTTTTCAACTTCAGGGTTTCAAGGCACACATTTATCAACAAAACCATTCCCAGAAAAGTAAAAGGAGAGATGGGAACAGTCCTGTCACTGTGTGGCAGCAAACGTGGATTTTGCAGTGGGGGAGGGAGGAGCAGTGACCCACCGTCTGCGGGTAAGAGAGCGGCCTCAGCCTGTCATAGTCCTCTTGTCCAGCAGTATCCCATAGTCCCAGGTTGACAGGCTTGCTGTCAACCATCACGTTGGCAGAATAGTTATCAAACCTGAAACACAGAGACATAGGCCACGGCTCAAACAGGAGAAGGGGGAGCCCTTCCAGCAGTGTAGGTGGGTTTTGCTGGGTGCAGCCCAGAGCAAAAGGTACTGATTTCTCATCTCACCTGGATGATTCCAGTTTGTTGTGAGCCTCTAGTTTATGGACATCCCATTCAGCACCAACCTCCTCCACATCACCCAGCTGTCCTGGAGAGATGCTTGGCTGCAGCTCCACTTTTACCCCCTTGCATATGGTGGTAACCCCTTAGTTTCCCACTTCTTTCCCCAGTATCCTTCCCACAACTGTGTTTGCTCTAGTCAAGCCCCTGTCTTTTGTACTCTAAAACCCACTTTCTTCAAAGTTAAGAAGAACATGTCTCAGGAGCTCCCCAAAAGCCCTGCACTCCTCAACACCTCTGCTGGAACTGAGACCAATATGCCAAGGTGTGCCCCCTTACTCTTTTAAAACCTTAGAAATATTTGAGAACAGCTGTCAGCATTGCATGCTTGGGAACAAAAACTTCTTGGAAAAGAAAGGCTGTTAAATCAATTGAGGTGTTCCTCCTCTCATCCTAGAAAATCTTATTTCCCGTTCCTTTTGTACACTTTTCTTTTCAGGCTAAGGTGAGGGAAACCAGTGACAGGAAAGAATCAACAAAAAGAGCTTGTGAGTCTGCTCATGCCACCATTGTAAGATGAGCCATGCAGTCCAGGAGTACAAAATGGCCTTTTACACCTCCAGACACAAGCCACAGACAGGAGGAGAAACAATGTGTGGCACATAAAAGGCATTTTGTGGCTGCACACTAGGAAGGGATGGTGCCTTTCAAGAATCTAGTTTTTGAGAAGAGACAGGCTCCTGCTGACACAACCATTTTTTGCAACATCCATTGCAAACTGGTCTGGAGAAAAAAGTGAAAGGTTTTCCTGTGCCTGTCCTTCCCAAGGAACCTCAACCTGAGCTGGCAGTCTGACACGCTGTGCCTCACTTCTTTTCCCACTTTGGGGAGTGTGTAGTTATACTCTACACTCCCGTGGTATGGTACAAGTACATGTGGTGTCCATTCCCAAACATATTCCCGTGCACTGTGGGGAGTTAAGTGCATCTGACCACTCAAACTAAAGCAACCTTAAGCTTGCTCCTTATCCCAGCAGCCTGCAGGTCCATCCCAGCTTCACGGATAGATCCTCTAGATTGCATAGTGCTTCTGCTCTGGCACTGAGCTAAATGCTGCACTCTTACCACCAGGGTTATCAGTTCCTGCTCCAAAGACAGTAGATGACCTGGACAAGGAAGGAAGCGGGGACTCCTCTCCATTCAACTGCCTTCTCTTGGCTCTGTCCCAATTTTTGTAGCCTGGTACCTAGTTGTTTTGCCTAGCAGGACCCCATCCACTACTCATAAACTTAGCAGGTAAGTAGACCCTTGGGCTGGTTTGTGTCTCCCAAATGTCCCATTTATACCAGGGTTTTGTAAGGCCTTTGTGCTTCTGGTGAAAGGTGACAGATCTGAAGTGTAGAGGCACCTTTGCTAGTTTGGCAGCCCTTCCTCTGCTGGCATGGAGATGGAGACCCTGCCTTCAGAGTGCAGAATGGGAGGATTCTGCACCTTTTTGCACCCTCCTGTCCAAGCTTCCCACCCACCCCAGGACCTGTTTACGCATTACTCACACAGTGGGGATGTATTCTCCTGGGAAGGCATTTGTGGTATAGCTGATAAGGAGACAGGTTTTTCCCACAGCTCTGGAAGAGAAAGAAAAAAATAGAAAGAATTCATGGTAGTGCAGGCAGTCTTTGTAGGGTGAAATGGGGATGAGGCAATCCTTCCACACCTCTAGGCCAGCCCTGTCAGGAGACCCTTGGAAGCAGAAACATATTTAGAGGATCAGAGAGCACATAATCATAGGTTAGACAACTGTTAGGAAGAAAGATGTCACCCAAAAAAGTTTGTTGTCTTTGAGCAAGAAGACTTGTTTCTACGTTCTGGTACAGAGATCACTCAGCTAAATTGCATCTACCCTCAGATCATAGAATCATAGAATGGTTTGGGCTGGAAGGGACCTCAAAAATCATCTAGTTCCAACCCCCTGTCGTGGGCAAGGACATCTCTCACTAGACCAGGTTACTTCAAGCCCCATCCAACCTGGCCTTGAACACTTCCAGGGAGGGGGGATCCACAGCTTCTCTGGGCAACCTGTGCCAGTGTCTCACCATGTACAGAGGAGAGAATTTATTCCTAATATCTAATCTAAATCCACCCTTCACCTGTTTGAAACTGTTCCTCCTTGCCCTCTCCCTGTATACCCTTGAAAGAAGCCCCTCCCCAGCTTTCCTGTAGCCCCTTCAGGCACTGGAAGGCTGCTATAAGGTCTCCCCTGAGCCTTCTCTTCTTCAGGCTGAACAACTCCAACTCTCTCAGCCTGTCCTCCTAGGAGAGGTGCTTCAGCCCTCTGATCACCTTTGTGGCTCTGCTCTGGACTTGCTCTAACATGTCCATGTCCTTCTTGTGCAGGGGGCTCCAGAGCCTCTCCAGATGGAGGCGAGATCCCATTTTGCAGTGTGCACACAGTTCCACATGCTCACAGCCAGGGGAGGTGTATTGATTTGGTGGGGGAGTCCCATGGCAAAGCTGTCCAGCTGGCTAGAGGCCCTGAAGACAGGCTGCTCCTGCAGATGCTGGGACCAGGGGCTCTTCTCAACCTAGCCACATCACCTGCCTTGCCTTTTTGCAGTAAGCTGCAGCATCACCCACAGAGAGAGCTGTAAGCAGGCAGCCAGCTGCCTCTCCCTGTGGCTGTTGGAGGCTGCTGAGGGTATTTCTGAGCTAGAAGCTGGTGCTTCCTCTGTGCTCAGCCTGCCCCACACCCATGCTGATGCAGGGTGGAGTGCAAATAAGCCAGGGTAGCAGCAGAGTGCAGGCTGGGTGACAGCATCAGTGTGAGGGAGGTGGGAAAGGCTATCAAGTAAGGCTAGCAAGGGGTGAAGGTGCTGTGGGCAAAGTGAAGGCAGTGATGAGAGAAAGAAGATGAGGAGAGAAACTGGAAGGAGAGAATGCAGCCAGGACACGTGTGAAAAGGAGAATCCTCCTGCTGGGCTGCTGCTTCTCATGTCTGTGTGCCCTGGGAAAGTCTGGCCATGCTTCAGTGACAGCATGTGTGAAATGGAGGTGCTAAGAGAGACCTGCCTCCACAGCCTACCCACACAGCAGCAGGATGAGTGAGACATCTTTCCTGGGGGGAAAGCTGGAGTCCCACTGCTGGGGATGCTCCGACCATCTCAACTGTACCTGCAAAGTCCCCTCCTGCAGCCCTGCCTTTTCCCTTGCCCTTGACAGGCACAACTGGCATCTTTGCCCCGGTCACAAAGGACCCACCTCCGTCACTGCACTGTGGGGAGGCTGAAGAGGAAGCTGAACTCTTAACTGTGGTCTGACACTTGTTTCTTCCTTCTGCCACCTCCCTTTCCTAGATCCTCTCCTCTTGAGTCCCTTCTCTTCAGCTTGCTTGCTTCCTTCTTATCAAGGAGGGCTGTAGAGGCTTCCCGAAGCTCTACAGGGAGCTCAAGAGAACTATGGGGCTGGAGGGTGGTCAAATCATTGGAGGGACAGTTCTGAATTAGTGTGGCTGAACAGAAAGGAGCACAAAGGATCAGTGAAGGGGTGAAAGCTATTAAGAGATGAGGTGAGGTTAGTGGCACCTGGAGGTTCCTGGGACTGAACTCAGGGAGTGTTAAGAAGTCAGTGATGTGTGATGGAGCCAGAACAGCTATGGGGGAACATGAGTGGCTTAGCAGAGGGACAGCAGGAGGTCCTATGGTCTGTAAGGTCCAAGAGACAGAGGGTGACATGGCTGGTGGGAGGGATGCAAAGGGGCACGAACCAAGAGCTCAGTGCTATGGGAGGATGACTGGACTGCTGCTGTGTTGTGACAGTGGGAGGGGAGGTGCAGCGTTCAGAGAAGCAAAATGACAGAAGACTTTTAAGAGGAGCTGCAGTCAGAGCAGTTGAGAGCAGGGTGTATTGAGGGGTTAGCCATGATATGAGGAGAATACTGCTTTGAGGGATGGTTACAGAGTTGGTGCAATGCGTGAGGGGCAGTCTGGGGGGTTTAACAGGGCAACATCTGAATGCCCAGTGGAGTTGTTCATCCAACTCAAGCTTGCAGCCTTCAGGGGAATTTTCTTCAAGGTAACAGTGTTTTTTTGGGGCTCTGTCCTTCCTCGGCCCTTCTCCTCATCCCCTTGCCCCAGCCCCTGAGAATATGTCTAACACGTACTGTTATATTTGCAGATTTCTTCTTCCCTGGGCAAGTTTTGAAGGAGGAAGTGACTGTGGGGAGCAGGGGTGCTGCAAATGTCTGTTCATCTGCTACCTGATAGCTGCCCCAGATAAGAGCCCAGCCAGCTCCTAGCTGGGAAATGAATTAACCTACTCCCTTGCAAATGTGGACTCTCCTCCTCTCCACTCCCTACAGCTACTCATCCCACAGGGCAAGAAGAGGTCATGTCCACCCCTTGCCTCCCACTCCCAGCAGTACCAGCTGCTTCACTTATTGATGGCTGAGCTGGGGTCATTTCCAGGGATCACAGGACACAGGCAGTGATGCCATCATGCTGGGAAGGCAAGGCTGTGTTACCTTCCATTCCCAAAGTGGCATATACTCAGTGCCTACCTCAGTGGAGAGAGCTCCTCCTCCTCGTGCCCACAAAACCCCCTTGCCAAACAGGCTCCCCCACACCCTGATACAGAAATAATGTGCTGAGAGGAGCTGAACACAGAGGAAGCAGGGGACATCTCATCAGGGCCGCAGTGCTGTGCCCTCTAGGTCAGCCCCAGTGAGCAGATGGCTCCCAAGGGGCCATTCCCCTGCAGGGAGGCACTTGAGCCTCTTGGGTTTTCAGTCTGCCTCCTGCCTACAGGTGGAACCTGGCAGCAACACCACCACCTCCTGCTCTACTTCCCATGCCCTTTGGAAGATGCCCTTCAGAACGCCCTTCTCCAAGGGAAGCTCCCTTGCCCTGGGGAGGGAAGAGCAAGCAAGAGAGGGAAAGCAGCCGGCGGGAGGTCAGAAGGGAAGCTGGGGAAGCTCCCCCAAGCAGCCCCCTTGTCCCTGTCCCCTCCCCACGGCCCCCGAAGCCAGCGGGTACCTACCCGTCTCCCACCACGACGCACTTGATGGCTTGCATGTCCCCCGACCTGTGGCGGGGGGCTGGGCCCAGGCAAACAGCCTCGAGAGACGGGCAGGGCTGGGTATAACCCTCACGCTGCAGCGAGGAGCAGGTTGCAGGCAGGGAGGAAGTGGAAGAGGGAACTTGACTCGACGATCACCCTCCGGGCCCTCCTCCCTGCTCCTCTGCGGCCAAGGCCGTTAGCTGAAGGCGGGGCGTGCGTGGCTCTGGGCTTGGGATGCTGGCTGCTGGCATTTGAGGTTGGGGTTTTTCCTCTCCCCACGCATCTCACCCACTCCCTTCCCACCCCATCCCATCCCAGTGAATGGCTGGGGGCACCTACCTGGTTTTATGGGGAACTGGATGAGGGTTAGAAGAGGGGGAGGGTGAGAAAGTGGAGGGGAGGGTTTCCTCCCTTCTTTATCACTCAAACTTTGGAAGAGGAGTAAACAGGCAAAGGTATCTGAAGTGGGATTAGGGAAGTGACAAAAGGCAATGAAGAATTTTTTCAGGTCTTCCCAGTGTTCCTGAGCATCAATGACAAACTGTCACAAGGAACAACGTGAAGGTTGAACAAGGAAGTTAAGCAGCTCCTAGGAAGGAGCAGCCACCCCTCCTCTTTTGTGGTTATAAACTCCTGCTGCTGTTCCCCACCTGCTTACATTACTACTACAAAGCTCTGTGGGAATGTGCACGCTCACCATGAAGTGGAGCCAGTGCATCAAGGGATGCAATGACCTGTTTTCTCTCCACTGCTAGTACTGTGAGAGGCAAAGCTGGTGGATGAGAGGAGCCCCTCCCTGCAAACCAGCTTCTCCCTTTCCACTCTTCCCTGCCTCTATACAAAAGCAGCCCATGAGAGCTGCTGCCAGGCCTCTTCCATCTTGTCCTCAGAAGATAAAAGAGCTTTTGAGCTAAGCAGCAAGGAAAAGAAGGAAGCAGTCATCCTCAGAGACAAGAAGGTGAAAGATCCCAGGGGGCTCCACTCCTTCCCTTTCCCTTCAAAATGAGGAGCTGCCTCTTCCTTTCTTCTCCTCCCATGCAATGCTAAGCCTGGAAGAGTGCAAGTATGTGCACAGCTGTGTGCTCCAGCTTGAACTGATGGGTGGATGGGCTGGAGATGCACCTTAAAGCAGAAGGGATGTCATCACACAAAATTTATTAGACTTTCCAGGCTTTTTCAGGAGGCCAGTTAGACCAACAAGAGTGGGTTTCAGATGGGATGTTCCTGAAGGAAGACATTCTGAGGAAAAGTGTTTCTCCAAATTTTGGTGACCTTTGCACTGCGGTAGGCACAGGAAGTTTTTATGACTGACCTACTCAGAAGGAGAGCTCTCCCATCCATCACTCAGTGCTGGCCTCAACCCAGAAACCTTCAGCTGTGGAATGTTTCCAAGTCTTGCAGCTATTTCAAAAGCACAAAGTGACCAGCTGTACTAGGTGTTCTCTCTGTGGGTGGTAGAGAAGGGGGAAGAAGGAATCCCACTGACACATCTGCAAGTGAGAGCAGGAGCAGGCTATAGAAATACATGTCATGGAAGGACAGAAGGAAGAGTGACAAAGGCTGTTATGAAGAAAGCATGAGCAGGTGCTGGAAAGAACAGGCAGGTGTAGAAATACAGTGGGACTCATTCAGAAGAGAAGGCAGGTATATCTGGTTCTAAAGAATGCTACTGGGGGATGGAAAAAAACACTTCCCACTTGAATTAGGGCAGGAATCCTCAAACAAAGCATTGATACTAGAGTTGGTATTGTGCCACATTCTACCTCCTGATCCTAGCCCACTAAGTGTCAAGATCTGCCTTCAGGCCACAGAAAGATGTGCACAGCGAGCCAGCAAAAAACATGCAACCCATGGGCACTTTGTTAGCACAAGGGGCACAGTTATTAGTGAAAAAATCTGAGCTTTGATGACAGTCCCTTTGCCAAAAAAGTTTGGAAAACTCACATCTCCACTGGAAATTTTGGGACATCTGAAATGCTCCTTGTGCAGCTGGACATATTGAGAGCTTTCTGTGGGAGACATCTGGGTGACAACTGAGGGCCCCAGGGAGATGGGACAGGTGGAATCCTGAGGGAGAATGGAGACTGAGGAGAAAAGGCCTGGAGAGAGGTGGACAATACATTGAATCTTACCTGGAACAGAGTAACAGTCATGTGAGGACACCGGGGACAGGGATGTGATTCAGACTATGGGATTCAGGACAGAAAACTGACCAGTGGCACATGTGGTGATGGGCCTGAACAAGGACCACTGGCCTCATGACTGCCAGTGTGTGCTTCTGTCCTTGTAGTCTGGCATGTGGGCCTTTGGGACTGGCAGTGTGGAAGGGAGTGAGGAAGAAGAAATCAGGTTAAAATCAGTCAGGAAGGAGGGACAGTTATTGAGACCCCATGTCCAGGTGAGCCCCATATCAAAGACACCTCAGTTCTGTATATCCAACAATGAGCTGTGGATGTCCTGGAAAGAAGGTATATCTCCATCCCCCTTCTGGGCAAATTACTTTTGGAAGATAATAATTTGTTACTGCTATGGATAGTCAGTTCTTGTCCAAGTTAGAGGTCTGTGTTGTGAGTCTATAAACATCCTTCCTCCACCAATGCCACCTCCACTAATGCCAGCGGAACAATAGGGATTTACATAAAGACTTTTAGGGGTTTCCTTTCCATCGTATTTAATTTATTAAAAATGGGATTTTCTGTTCAAATAACACATAGTATAATAACTCTGAGAACAACTGGCACCTGCTGCCTTAAAACCTCTCAGTTATAGCTGCTGCAGGGAAGGAAAGGAAACTGCAGGGAATAACTCAGTAGCCCCTAACTGAACATGTACAGATCTCTTGCTCCTTTGATGTCCTCTCAAACCACCAAGAGGTGCTCTAGACATGGGTTTCCTTCTGCATGTGCAGCAGGGCTGAGGGAAGGCAGGCGCTCATCTGGGGTTTCTTGTTCCCTTTGCTGGGTTTGAGGAAGATGCTAATGGGAAAAAATTGCTCAGTTCTGCTCTGAGAGACTCGCAGGGCTCTGGGCTGGATCACCTCTGAGTGACCCATCTGTGCTGGGTGTGCACAGCACCCATGTGGGCAGCAGGCAAGGGAGGAAATGCATGATACCATTTTTCCTCCCACAAGGACCCAAAACAGTGAGGAACTGGAGTGACTCCCTCTCTCCCCTACTTTCTGTGGGGTTCTGGTCCCTCAGGGAGGATGGGAAAAGAGTAAGGGGACTCTTTCAGAAGTGACCTTTGCACTTCACAGCTCTACCCAGGAGGGCAGGAACTGTGGGCCTGGAGGCTTGTTCTTCAGCATAGGCAGAGTAGCAGGGGGAATCCTTTCTGGGCAGGAGCAGGAGGCTTATTTCTTTGCCCTCAAAGGACATGGCCACAGCAGGTATTCCCATTAGTCAGGGCCCTGGTAGGATTTATTTTATGTGAGCTATTGCTCAGGCAATGCTGGGTGTCCAGGAGACCATTTCTGTGTGTGCTGGGCCTCCTCCAGGAAAGAGAGCAATTTCCTTCAGCCTGCCTGGGCTGCAAACTGTCCCTGCTTGCTATATTCCCCTTTTTGTGTCTTCCCACTTCCCCATTCAGACAGCTTTATGCTATCTGCAGCCTGCTTTTAGTTCTTGCTTAGCTCACTCTCTTCTCCATGGCTCCCACCCCTCCTGGTTGCGCCCCTGGCTGCTGTGGTTTCTCAGTGGCTGCCAAACTCCCCTGCAAAGCCTGCCCTGAATTCAGAGCTCAGATCATATCTGAAGTGGGGTGATGCACCTCAGGCCATGATGTGCTGTAGTCCCTGGTAAAAGCTGTAGAGTTGCTTCATACAGGGTCTGTTCTGTAACGTGGCCATGCCAAAAGCTTCTCTAGCCTAATTTTACCTGGTCAAGCAAAATCTAAGGAAAATAATGAAGTTTCCAATCTAGCCTCACTGAACTATCCACATTTACCCAGTAGGTCATAAGCAACTCAACTTGCAAATAGTGTTTACTGTGTCTTGGACCTGTCTTACTGCTCATGGGCTTTTCTGGAGACCAGCCCTACTGCATTCAGAGGCAGGTGGTCCATTCCTGATAGACTGTGTTGTGGAGGCTCCTCTATATTTAGACTGTGCCTGCTCTTAGCTTTGCCAGCTTTTGGCAAAATAGCAGGTCCACCGTCATCCTCTTATCTGGAGCACTGAAGGACACCCACCTCCCCCACCATTTCTCCACTATATACCCAGGTAAGCTGAAGACCCTGGCACAGACCTTTGGGCATCAAGTTTTTTGTGATGGCTGATTCGCATTTGCACTTCCCTCAGCTGAGAAATTGTTCAGAGATTCTAAATAATTATGTCTTGGCCTTATCTGGTCCTCTGTACTTCTGCAAGTCCCCAGTGATTCCGATACGGGTTTCCAGTCTTACAGACCATTTGTTCTCAGCCAGTGACAGCCCCCATCTTGCTGATACCACTCTGTTGCTTAGTGGAGATAAATACAGATGAGTATCTGACTGTGCATACTTTCTCACGAGGTGTTCAGATGGTTCAACAGCATTTTTCACCTGCCTATTGTAGAGGGAAGGTATCAAGGGCTAGAGATTACATGTGTAAATAGTAACTTGAGTGTCAACTGCTTCACTTGACTCCTCTGCCTGCCACCACTCTTCATATGTTATCAAATGTTAGATACACTACGTTTTGTAAAACCTGATCTAATACATATCTTTACTAGCAAGCTATGGTATCTTCTAGAAAGGCTGCATCAGGGGGATGAAAAGAGCTGTTTAGAGTCCCGAGGAAATCTATAGATGCCCTGTTTTACAAGACTAGTATTTCCTGAACAACCAAAGTAAAATAGTTTGTTTGATTTCTACATGTTTGTTTTTTTTCGAAGTCAAAAAGCTTCAATCTTGCTGCACTTCAGAATTCAACAAAAAAATCCTTCAAAACAGCAAATCTCAACATAAAAAAATCTTCCTTCGAGTTTATCAGACTCTTAAGTGATGCTTCTGTCATCTTTATAAGAGGGTGTCTTCTTTTTTCTCTGTGGCCTTTTATACTCACCAT